CTGCAACTAACATTATTTTTTGTGGTCCCGCGCGTCTGCAGATCTGTAATCCCAACACCAGTAATTAAGCAGTTTTTAAGTGGAGTTGAAGAAAGGGGTCAATACATTGGTCTCGGTTCTCTTGAGATATCGTGTCAGTGTATGGAAGATGCTCAATTACGCAAACATTTTAAAATGAGTGATGAAATGACAGGAGCTCTTATAAACCAAATATATCCACTGTCAAATGCTCACAAAATTTTGAAAGAATACGATGTCATTCTTGCAATTGATGACGTTCCTATTGGAAATGATCATTCAGGTAAGTAGCTACATAAATATTGGTGAATCTGCTATGTGTGGGAATTGGTTGAATTAAAATTTATACTTTCTTCATGCAGTTCCTTTTCGGAAAGAAGAACGGGTAGATTTGGAAGATTGGCTTTGTTTGAAGAGACCAGGTGAAACAACTTTAGTTAAAGTCCTAAGAGATGGACGAGAGCACGTTTTCAATATCAATTTAAATTCTGTAAGTCATCTACACATTTTGTTCTTATCCGTTTTTGGTTCACATTTTAATTGACAATAATCAAAACGTAAACGTTGTATAATCGTATATCATTTGTATGCAGAAGCAGCCGCTGCTTTTGGAAAAATTTCTTCCAAGCTATTACATACTTGCCAGTTTTGTCTTTGTGCCTCTCAGTGCCAAATTTCTTCCAAGCTATAAATGTTCCTGCATATCAGATAGGAAGCCTAGAAAAGCCAGTGAACAGGTTGTTATTATTTCGGAGGTTTGTGTTTCTCTTCTCCTAATCTTTTTAAACTTTAAAATTAAAACTTTATGGGTAAGTTTTGGGTGTCTTCGTCGTTAGTTTGGCATTGGAGTTCATTTATTTATTATTACTTTTTTTTACTGTAGGAGTTGGAGTGGGGAAACTTCTCTATTTTCGAAAATTTTGAGGTAAAGTAATTTATATTGGCTATTGTCGCAGAAGCTATGAGTTCAACTCAGCTTGATTCTAGATTTCTAATAATGGAACAATCAAGCAAATCATAACTACATGTATCATTCCACACTACATTAGTGTGTCATGAGAATCAAAACTATAGTTTATTAGATCATATCCGATCGTTGCATGCCTGAAAGACAATATTTTTGGTGTAAACAGGTGAAGAAAGTGAACGGGGTGGAAGTGGTGAACTTGAAGCATCTAAGTGAGCTCATAGAGAAATGTTGCACCGAGGATTTAAGGTTCGACTTGGAGCAAAATAAGGTTATTGTCTTGAACACTAAATCTGCAAAAGAAGCAACTTCGTCGATCATAGAACGTTTCGGAATACCATCGGCCATGTCCAAGGACCTACAAAGAACAAATTCTGGTCGTGTGTGCTAGTTCTTTTTACAAACCAGTTACGATAACAAATTTCAGTTTGT